GGGGGGGGGGGGGGGGGGGGCGTTCTTTTTCTTAATCCCTAAAGCCTCCTTTATCTTCCTTTTACATGTACGAAAAGAACATGTAAAAGGAAGATTGTCCAGCTATTAAAGTCACCATTTTGATCGCTTAAAACAACGAAGCATTTCGCGTCTTTGAAGACAAAGCGTCCTGGAGCCGTGTCACGGAATTTATCAAAATTGGAACGGCCACAAAATTAAGTGAAACAAAATAACCGCTCAGAACGTTAAATGAAGGTTTAAACAACACAGTAAAAATGAAAGGAGGAATGGGTGAAAAAACTTGAAGAAGATTGACACGGATTGCAATATTATTGTGGTTTTTGAAAACTTGTTAGACTAACATTCTTTCAACGTTCATTTTTGTTGTTTGTATCGTCTTATATAATGCTTGGGAGACGATTTGTTTGACACGAGGCCGTGATTTTGTCATTCAATATTTAACTAGCCGTGACACGGCCCCTTTAATGTCTTTACTTTCGGGTAAGTTACAAACCTCAAGTCCATCTTCATCATCATCTGTTCTTATGAGCTGCTTTAATCCATCAATGCATTCCTCGAGTGAAGCCTTTGCGCTGCCCGTTACACCAGCTATACTGCATGCCCTCTTGAAATTATTCATAGCATCAAGTAATTCGGTACTTGTTTCCTGGACTGTTTTTATGAGAGCATTACATTCCGAAAAGAAAACATCAAACTGGAAGGCAAAACAAAATCACAAGACTTTTGAAACAGATCGAGTTGCTTCAACAAACCAGGGGGCACCGAACGACTGTAAAGTAACACTGTTCAAAGGAGCAAAGTTTAAAGTTCGAGAAAGGTTAAAAATTTTTCGATAACCTTACCATTTGTCTTATAATCAAATGGGACCTGTCCCATTATGGCTCTTGGTCTTAGATATTTGAAATATTTCTAGTACATTCAAATTCCGTTAATACAGAAACTGGAAGAAAGTATCCGTACTAACGCCGGGTCTCCGTAACAAGCGGGTTGAATTGAGAGAAAATGTAAGGGCTTTTTTCCCCCAGGGAAAAAGCAAACTGTCCGTAATAATGAGGTGTCTGTAAAGCGGGGTTTGACTGTAACTTGTCTTACCTAAAATCTTTTACCAAGATTTTGCCATTATTTTGCCATTGCCAAAAGGTCTTCAGAAAATTAATTTCGGTATAGCGACAAAAGGTTTTCTAGAATTTTCTTATGATAGTACGATTACTCATCAGGGAGTTTCAAATGAGACGTAACAAGTCAAATAACAGTGTAAGTCCATCTACAGTGGAACATAAGCTATCTGGAATCTTCAGAATGAGAAATGGATTTAGTTGTTGATAAAAAAAATGTATTCCTTTTCGCTCCATTCAGTTCATTTTACATGCACATGCATACAAATGAGAGTGAATGTGATGATCAGAAAACAGTTTATAACTAGAGCATTTCCTGGAACAGAAATCCATAAGCTACAGTATAATAGTCCATTTATATTGTATTACAGTCTTCATAAATACAGTCTAACCTCTCCTTACTACACCTCTGTAATACGGACACCTGTCCATTACGGACAGTTCGTTTGGTCCCAGAAATGCCAAAAATCATACATTCCCTACCTCTATAATATGGACACCTCTGTAAAGCGGATACTTGGTTCTGTCCCTTTGGTGTCCATATTAAAGAGGTTTGATTGTACCAGACCGCGAACGGTTGTCTTCTTTCCTCAGAGCGTCGCGTGGAGAGCGATAAAGTAAAAATAATTAATTATGCAAATTAACGGTAAAAAGGAGGAGAGATTTGGACAGAAAGAGGAAAAATACCTTCCTTTTGGTAATTCTAAGTATTAAGAAACCAAAAATTTAAGGTTAGAGTAGATGTAACCATACCGCAACAATACATGTACATATTTTTATGACTGGTACAGTACCTCAGGAACTTTTGTGACAATAAGAGGTATGAATTCCTTTTGCTCTGAAATTTCCAGAGGGCTTATCGTAACATAGTTCTTCTCTTCAATCTCTTCGTTTTTAGAGAACATGCCTCCTTTCGAAGACTGCCTGGCCTTTTTCATCTTCTGCTGAAGTAAGTGCCGTACGAGGGACTGGATTGCAGCATGTACGCTATTATCACTCTCTTTGGCTGATACTGTTACACTAAAACACAATCAGAGAAGGTGCTTTTTGTCACATATACATGAAGTCAGTGTTTGTTCTCTTTTGAGACTCTTCATTTTCTATGACTTTCCATGACTTTTTCCGTGACCTTTCAAAATTTTTCAAGACCTTAAGTTTACATGTAGCTGTGACTAATGAAAAATTAATTTTCAAAACTTTCATTGTTTTAACCTAAGCCAGTTCAACCAGACACTAGCATGCCAGCGGCTCACTTGTGCGAGGTTGGGAAAATTTTGGCAGTGCAACCATGAGCATATCAGGAAAAGTGACTTTTGTGCGGGCCTAAATTTTCCCGGAACTCACACAAGTAAGCCTAAAGGCTAAACATACGCAAACTCTGGTGTCCACAAAAACAAGCGCACATTTGTGCTGTTTAATTACTATTGCATCTATCTAAAATTGTCCTTGCTGCAACAGTCTGCAGGAATTTATCTAACACAACTTTAATTTTCCATGAAAATATTCAAGGACTGACAATTAAATTCCATGACCTTCCAGGCCTGGAATGAAATTCGTAAATTTCCAGGTTTTCCATGACCTGTACAGGGTGTGCAGCCCCTGACATTAATAACATTATTAAAAACACATACATGTACACTGAAGAAAATGAAATGACCTGTGCCAAAAATGATATTATTTAAAAGTTATTCCTCAAGCCCAAATATTGGGCTCTGAGTCAATAGCCCATGAGGCCGAAGGGGCTATTGACTCAGAGGCTATGAGGGTGAGTAGCCTGCATAGCAAGCGTTTCTGTTTGGTTTCGATGCAAAGAAAGACCATGGAAGGGGATTTTCAGTATTGATCGTGTGTACATGTTGACTCTTGTTCCTCGTTCTTTGCTCCTAAACTGCACAGAAACGGTTGCTACACAGGCTAGAGGGCGAGAGGAATAATATTGTTTTAGTAAAATCCAACTAGTTGTTCAAAAATATCGAGACAAAACAACTTTATAGGCCATTTGATAGGGTATGATAAAAATCAGAAATTATGAGATATTTCCAGGGTAGATTGTGCGATAAGATAGGACTATTATGCAAGAAATTATGCGAATCATTTTTTCAGGGCTAATTTACATTGTTTTACCAGGTTTCAAAGGAGAAAAACCACTTTAATGTTGTTTAACAGGCAATTTGAATGTAAAGGAATAATAAAACATCTATTTTAAAACAAAATAGTTAAATTTGTCCGATTATCAAAAAGGACACTAAGTTTAAGATAATTACATGATGCCATTACACTGCTGACCACACTTCTTGTCTCTGAAATCAAAATGGCTGCCCAGATACTGCGATCAAAGGTTTCAGATGTCTTTCAAGGTTTTCTTTAGTGGTAAATTACCTTTTCACTAGAGGGCTACAACATATAGCCTAGTAGTAGCCCAGCCAATCAGAAAACAGCATTGTTAATGGACCACTAGTTGGATTTTACTAATAATTTATTATTACTGTCTTAACTAACCTTCCTACAAATCCATGTTGTAATGCAACACCCTCTAACACCCTCACTGTCTCTAAGTTTGTCATATCTTCCAATTCATTTGTTTCATCCTCTGTCTTTTGATATTTCAGCTGGTAAAAACAATAATAAATACAATAAATACAAAAACAAAAACAATATTCCTTTTTGAGTATTGAACGAAATTAATTCTTTCTTTATATTAGACACCCAGTTTTCAAACTACATTTTTGTAAGAGAACTGAGAATTAAACTCAATATATTATTTAAATATGAAACACAAAATTTTAAAGGTGTATGTTATGTTGTGCAATTTTATAATATCAAAATCAGCATAGTAAGGTAAGCACAAAAACTAAGCACTTAATAATTTACATTAAACTTTGAAAAGGCACAATGAATGTTTTAACTTTTGGCAAGGATTAGAAAGTGAAATTCAATGGACACTCCAATAATATAATAATTAAAAATTAAAAATGGCCTTAAAATAAATAAACGTGCCAAGTTTAAGAGAAATTAATGGAAGATAATAATAGCTCTGGCAAGTCGCAAAATTTTAGAGACCTTTGTATGATGGGGGGCACAAACTTGCCCTGCACCACCATTACAAATGTTTGTAAAATATCTGTTTTTATCATTAAGCTTACCTTGTCAACCTTGTTTCCCAATAGCAAAATTGGTATGAATTTATTAGATTCAACCGTGATCTCCTTTGGATTCCCAGAACTGTCTGTGAACACAGCATTGTTAACAATATCCTGCTTCCAAGTACCTGCCATGGTTACAGAGTCAATATCATCCATATCAACCACAACTGAGGAAAATAATGTCAATAAAAATGTGTGTCAGGTAAGTAAAGAACAGAGTCCATTACATGTAGCAAGCATGATTGAAAATCTACTACATGTAGCCTCCGGTTATCATTCAAGTGCTACTTTCTTCGCTCTAGGTACATGTACAATGTAGATGGATAGATACAGTGGAGTATATCTTTGAAATTACAGCTAGGAGTTGAATATTAATATTGTGGCCAGATAAAACTTTACAAATGAAAACAAATAAATATCATGATAATACATGTAAAGCTATGTTTTATGTGATCCATAAAAAAAAGCTAATAAAATCGCCTACATACAATAAATAATTGCTGTAAAAAATACTATTCATTGGTCTGTCTGTTGGCTGTTTCTCAGATTAAGGCTACATAATTTTGCTTTTTGGTTTTGGATATATGCAAAATGTAACCAGCCATGATAGATTCAAACTAGGATTGAGGAAAAAAAATTGAATCACAACATAACTTCCAGGAAGGTACAGGTAGCTATTACAGATGGCTGCAAGTGAATTTCGCCAGCAGGAAAAAGAGCTTACCAATGTTAAATGCCTCAGTTTGCACTGGAAAACAATTGAAACATGTGGGCTAATTCTGAAGGTGCATTAAATAAAAAGCCAGCTTATCACTAATAAGACAAATAACAAATAGTATTAAGCCTGCTTAGTTTTTCCTTACAGTAGCTCATCCCTAATGGAGCTAAAACCAACATTTGGAATTGCACACATTTTAGGCATCTGATGAACAGTTACAACTTAGAGATTTTGAACAACATCAACTTGACAATGATGATGATTTAGAGGTAGCACATCCACAAAGTGGTTCTTCATGTACCATTCCTGGCCAAACTTGGAAATTGGAAATGTTGGTTTTAGAGGAGAGGGGAAAACTGGAGTAACCAGAGAACGACCTCTCGGAGTAAGAGAGAGAACCAATAGCAAACTCAACCCACATATGGCTTCAACACCAGGATTTGAACCCAAGCCAAAATTGCCAACTGCCCTCTTTGAACTATAATTCTCACCTATGGCAGCATCCACATCTTTGTAGTAACTCCTTCTCAAGTCCATTTCCTCCCGGCCAGGTAGATCCCATAATGCCACAGATACTATAGTTTCATATGGAATATTGACATGTTTCACCACATTTCCAATGCTTACAGACACACTGGGCTGATAACTGTAGTCAAACTGATTCTTTGTGTACCGTAAAAATATGCTGGATTTTCCTACTTCAGGGTCACCTAAATGAACACATTAAAATTTCATATGATTACTATATTTATACTGTTAGTAAAATTATACATGTACCGTATTTATTCGAATAAGCGCCCAACCTCGAATTAGCGCCCACCTCGAATAAGCGCCCATCCTAACGGCAGAAAAAGTTAATAAGCACCCAGCCTCAAATAGGCGCACACCTCCTCCTCCTCCCAATCAAACACAAATAAGTGCTCACCCCCACCCGACCCACTTAAGTGAATAAATTCTAATAAGAGACTTCCCCTGGGGACGGAGTTTTCTTCAGAGTATTTTACAGAAACCTTGCTTTGTTAATTCTTCGCATTTTGTTATTAGCATTTATTGTGTTGTTGCAAAATAAACATACTTAACTTGCTGAAAATGGTGAAAATTTAATAAGCGCCCGGCCTCAAATAAGCGCCCACTCTCAAGGTCCAAAAATTTAATAAGCACCCAGGGCGGTTAATCAAATAAATACGGTATAACAAACTCTCCTAGAGATTATTTTTTTAACTGAATGACACGATTTTTATTTAAAATTTGCAAGCTAAAAATACAATGTTAGTGTGTAGGAAGAAAAAAAATAAATAAATAAGTAAATAAATAAAATTAAATTGAACATCACAAGAATATTATATGATTGAGCCATGATTGAGTTTAGAAAATTGGGTTCCGTCTTCACATTCTAAAAATATTTCGTATCGTGTATCTTACAACAAATAAATAAAATATTACAGTAAAATAAGAATAACTAAATAGTAATAATAATAAATATGTCGCCTGACACGCTCTGAACTAGTATTGTCTGCCTTGTTATAGTTACTGTCCTCTGTCAAACGGACAATTACATATTTTTTTGGATAAGTACTAAGTGTATCATGTCATGGTTCACTTTTAAATTTAATTTTCCTTCACTGCAGAAACTGCACTCGACAAGCTTGTAAATCAGGAGACGACAAGCTTTTCTCGTGTTCTCCGAACATCCCAAGTGGGTTATCACGCCGGTAAACAAACAGAAAGTGTGGTCTATTGCTTAATTAAACCCTCTGGGGTCTTACTAAAAAACTTAATGCTCTAGATGGGGTTTCATAAAAGAGGGGGTAGCTTGATACAAGGAATTTGAATTTATTACACTTCCCCTTGTTTTCACTTCCGAGATACTCATCACTTCAAGTGGTGATTTACTTATCGTCGTGGATATGATAGTTTTCCTGCCACTGATCAAACTTCAACTTTTTCAAAAAAGGCATAACGAAACTCAAGTGTTCAATGAGATTATAGAAAAAAGGTTTGAGCTAAAATGATAAATCATGAATGCGTTAAACAATGACATTGCAAATAAAACACAATTTACGAGGATGCAGTCACTGATGAAAATCTTGCACGCCATTAAATGAACGCCCTAAGATTTACTAAATCCAAATCAATGCACAATTGCTTTCCCAATATATTGAATACCGTTGTAAGGCAGAACAGTGTAAAACTTAGCCAAAAGACGGGGACAAATAGCTTTGTATCGAAGTAAACAAAGCGCTCGCTCTTTCAACAAAGCTGAGCTTACAACCCTCAATCGATCGCAGTTCCTCTCAATAAACAAGCGGCGGGCTCGAAAACATGCTCAAAGAGATCATTAAATTTACGCCTATTTTCAAACCTACAGGTGCGAATAAATCTACGTTAACGAACTCACATTGCATACAACTTCAAGGAATGAACTTTATAATCTGCGAGATATTTCACGTATCAAACGCAAAACAACAAGCTAATGCACAACTTACCGACAAGAACAATCTTAAATGTTGGTATTTCTTGCTTCACCAATTTCCCTGTAGTAACAGAAATAATATTATGAGCTGGCTGCCTAAAGAATCACAAAGCAAACGAACAAAATCTCACCGCTACCACAACTGCCAGCGGCCCCCATCTTGTTTCCGCCGCATCACGCGAAAGTCGAGATTACGCGCGACTGGAACCCACATTTCGTGGGTCACCTAGGAAACCGTTCTATTTTTTGGGCGGCTACGTCAAAGCAAGGCGAATGTTCTTTCAAAGGAACGGACCATTATTTTTTTGGAGGGGGGTGATGAAATTTTGGGGGGGAACAAACAATTTTTCTGGGTCGTTGTCTGCGCAAACTATTTTTTTCGACTGCATCATTCTGCAAACAAATAACCTGTGCACTACCCGGCTAGCACCCAGAAATTCATCCGATTGCTTCGAGTCGTTTTCTCCTCTAAGCACTGAGAGAGTACTGAGAGAGTAATAACGACTCGAAGAAATCGGATGAAATTCAGGCTATTATCTAGGAAGATTGAAGGGCCTCTGCTAGCAGGGTACCTATGCACAGGCTCTCTGTGGCTCTCTCACAACACATCATACAAAGATTACTGTCAATCAATATGTTATTTCTGAACATAGATAAGGTCCACAGAACAATTGATTTATTTCCAGAAGAATTCGAGTACATTTGACTTGTCAAGTGAGTTGCTGAACTCCAGCAACTCACTCGCCATTCGCCGTTTTTTTTTTTTTTTACTTCATCGCTATGGTTGCGATGAAGTTACAAAAAAAATTGCGAATTCAATTTTTCGCTGACGTCGACGTGGTAGTTGATTAACCTCTCTTCTTTTGTGGGTAAAACACTACGATGGCTAACTTCCTGTTGGGGAAATAATACAGAAGCCGGGCAAATCTTTGGCTTTGTAGCAGGAGTGATTTCCAGTCGCGTGACCTTGTTGAAAAGCTCATGAGCCTGCAATTCCACCGCGGTCAAACGTCTGAGCATGCGCGAAGATTTGCTTGGTGATCGCTACATTCGATTTGGAAAATCTATACGCATGTGGCTACGTCTTCTTGCGGGCAAGAACAGAGAAATTTTCTTTGTATTTCAAGAAAGTTCACTGGCGATGAATAGGAAGAATAAGAAGAGCGTATAACAGGAAATGTAAGTATGAGTAAACTTGCCTTTGACAATCATAATATTCCCCAAGTGCTCTTATGCTCTTGTTGATCAAAATGGTGGCACACATTTGTGGCCGCTAAAAGTATAGCTCAAGTTTAAATAGTTTTAAATTGTTTAAGCTTTCTGTAATGCTTTATACTAACACTGGCTTGAACGTAATTTGAATGGTTGGTATTTTTATTTAATACAAACCATATCTTTTGGGCTCTGGTTCGTTCTGCAAAATAAAAAATTTAGTAAATTGTCCGGTTGTGTTTTTTTTTGCGATGAAACTGTTCTTTTATGACTGACGACCTTAATTTTAAGCTTGTTCTTACCTTTTCACATCAAATATATTATCTCGCTCAGGGTTTAAGTCTGTATTAATAATAAACAAAATGTATCGATAATGAATAATTATTTTAGATCTCATTCATAAAATTCAATGACCACATCACATGAGTTTAGTAAACATAATCGAGCTCAAAAAAGATGTATGAACATCTATAGTGTCGGTGTTATTTATTGTTTTAGGCCAGGCACATTGTGAGGGGAAAAAGGTTTTTGTTTTAGCAGATGTTTAATAACCACACATAAGTTCAATAATCACAGCAGCATAAGATTATTTTTGACTGTTTGACATTGCAAATTGACCAGACATCAGTGTACATGCTGTCATTTCAACACTATTGCTTATTCTTCATGTTTGTTTACATTCATGACTAGGCTTCTGTTTTCATTACGCTGTCCATTCAATGCTCGCAGCTTGGTCTTAGTTTTACAGTTTAATTTACTAGCAATAGGGGGGGGGGGTGGTAAATGAGGTCTCAGTTGTACAACCTTCTGTGTTGATTTAAACTGCCATGGTGTTTAATGATCTTGTATGCATCTTTAAGGTGGGCCAAATAATAGGAGTTAGAGATTATTGTGGGTTACTAGATGCTCATATAGCATTAAAAGGGAAGGTACTTGGTATCTACTGTAGTTTTGTTCTTGCTATAACAATCTGACAACTTATTATTTATTTGATTAAATCTATCTTATTTTTGTACAGAAAGTTAGGAAGGGGATGAATAGAAGACACAGAGTCTAGACCCTGAAGGAGAAGCAGATCCATGAGAAAAGGGTGCAAAATGAGAAGAAAGAATGGAAATGATGTACATAAAGAACACCTAATTTAACTGAAAAGACAAATAAAGGTTCCACTCAATTTTATTTGCAATTTTGTCTTCTTTCTTACAGTATTTTAGACTGTCTTTTAGAAAATCTTGTTAGCCAAGCAGTCTAACTGACCAGCCATCATTTGGAGATGGGCAGCTATCCTCTCAAGGCTTTGTTACCTGTTTATTATTATTATTTTTTCTGCTTTTTCTTAAAGTCTTCTTTCTTGATCTTTGATCACCTCTCTGGCTTAAACAAAGTGCATTATTATGGTCTAAGTGAAAAGTTAAATTCCATTTTTTCTCTTCTGTTTCAATCACAAATAGGACACCCCTTACTTCCATTTCTTTTTCTGACAACTGGAAACAGGGATGACTCCAACCAGTTTTTCGATGATCACTTGTAGTTAATTGCTTCCGACGAGCTTAAAATGCAAAGCACACTGCGTTTATATATAGCAAAATGTTGAAAGCCTTGGCTCACCTGATCAGGAGCTCAAAAGGTAATCAAGGAAATAGGTCATGCAGAGGGGAGGGGAGGGGAGGGAAGAGCTGAAAAAAAACCATTAACCGAGAAAAAAATATTTCTGTACAGTTGTTCATCTGCTTATAAAATATCACTTAAAATGAGAGGACAATGAATTCAAATTGCTGAGAACAAAATTTTAGTAAAGTGTGGTTTACCATATTTTCTGATGTCTCTTTCGTTTGTTTTTGGAGTGAAGAGATTTATTAACTGCGTTGCTTCTGCATAATTATTGCACCATTTTGTCCGAGGTTTGTAGTCGGTAACGTTGTCAGGTTGTTCCTGCCCACCTCGTCAAATACTGCATACAGTCTCTCGAGGATTGGAATTTTAAATGGTTTTACTGTGTCCCCACGAAGACGGACAGGAGCAGCGTTTGTCCTTG